AGAGACCTAGCATGAGCAAGGGAGGGGCAGAGAGAGGGGAAGACACAGAAGCCTTAGCAGACTCCAGGCTCTAAGTTGTCAGCACAGAGCCTGACACGGGGCTTGAACCCATGAACTGTGAGATCATGATCTGAACCAAAGTGGGATACTTAACTGACTGATCCACTCATGAGCCCTGATTTAACTTTTTAATGCTTTATTATTTTAGTTATTTGAAAGTAATTTCAGTGTTGGGAGTACATTACAAATGTCACTTTAAAAAAAACATATTTGATTTGATTTGCCAATTGACCAATAGCATTTATTTTTGATGTTACATAGGAATTAGAGATCTGAATTAATTTGTTTTTTTTTTTTTTTTTAAATGTTGGGTCATTTGTCTTCACACCATTTACTGAATAATCTATCTTTTCTCCATGGTATGAAATAGAAATTCTATCATAGGCATATTTATAATTATAAATACTCTCATGATTACTGAACTTGTTAGTTTCTTCAGTTTGTTTTTATCTTCTTTTCTCCCTATCTGGAAAGATATTCTTAAACAATACCTTTTTCTTTTTTTATGTGCTGCAAATATGTCTCTAGTTTGTCATTTGCTTCTTCATCTTATTTTATTTTATTATTTTTTTACATTTATTTATTTTTAGGAGACAGAGTACGAGTGGAGGAGAGGCAGAGAGAGGAGACACAGAATCCATAGCAGGCTCCAGGCTGAGCAAATGTTCAGCACAGAGCCTGATGCGGGGCTTGAACCCATGAGCTGTGAGATCATGACCTGAGCCAAAGTCAGACGCTTAAACTGACTGAGCCACCCAAGCACCCCATCTTCTTCATTTTAAATATGATTTTATTTCCAGTTAATCATAATTGCCATAGTTAAGAAAAGAAAGAACACAGAAATAAGTAGGTTAGGTGCTTTTTCGCCACTACTACCACATTGCTTTATTATAACTTTATATACATTTCATATCTGTTAGAACAAGATGGCTTGTCTTTCTCAAAGGTCCCCTGGCTATTTCAAGGGAGTTTTCCCTTCACCCACTTCTCCAGCCATAGCAAACAAGGATGTCTCTCGCTCCTCTCATGTCTGTGAGATGTCCTTTCTGCACATCATTCCTTATGACTGAACATTCCTCCACACTCACCCTGCCTTGCTTCTGAAAACTCAGTTCACATTCTTCATGTCTCCCTCCACATACCAATGCCACACAGAGCTGCCAGTCCTGGGCCAAATAGTGCCTCAGGTGTTCCCCCATAGCCTCCGACCTCAGCTTGTCTCTGTCGCCATGAAGGCTTTGTGGTAGTATCATCACCTGCTTATGTGGCTGTATCTCTTGAGTATAGAACTTTGTCTCTTAATTTCTGGATTCCAAATCCGACATGCTATATAGGCCCAACTGATAAACTGCACCAATCATAGGACAGAGGAGCCATGTCACTCACACACACACACACACACACACACGCCTATTATGGAAATTTCTGGCTATTGAGTAACTAGATCAGTTTCTGGCATATGGTAGATCCTTCATTGATATTGGTGAAAGGAAAGAAGGGAGGGAGAAAGGATAGAAGGGAGAGAGGAAGAAAGGCAGAGAGGGAGGGAAGAAGACAGGAAGAAGGAGCTGTACTCTCTGCGGCAAACGTTCATGAGAGCTGCGTATGAATAAAGATTTAGCTGCCCTGTCATTAGTTAAATCAGGCTCCCAGGACTTGAAATCACAGTGACTGACAATAAAGGCAATACAGTGTTTTTCTGGGTCAACACAACTCCTGTTATTTAAAAATTACCTTGACACGATTGTCTAACTGCTGCCGGGGAGGTTATTAGCCCCAGTGTAATTGCTTTACTTTAGCTGTGGTTATTTTCTTGTGATTTAATTGATTTCTCATTCTTATATCAATTTTATCTCTGTGACATAAAGATAGAGACATAAAAGATCCATGGCCAATGATTGCAAAGTAATAAGTGGAAAAAAGCACATTTGTCATAGAGTACTGATTCGCGTTACATGAAAAATAAATCCTTCTAGTTTGCTTGGGGAATGGAGTTCTGATGGTGGGAAAGCCCTGTGCTAAGGTTGGTACAGCCCAGTAGAGTTCATGGCCATGGTGGGTAAAAGGACCCAGGGGCTGGCCAGCACTGTCCCTAGGCATGAGGTCCAAGGTCAAGGAGAATGACCCATCATACTAGTAAAGGAAGTGACATAATATATATGTTACCTGAGGGGTGGCAAGAGTTATACCTTTCGAAAAGGCATTCTCACTGATTTGCTAGGTTAGGGTAGATGTTTGTGACTTGTTTTCCAATATCCATTCCACAAGAAGCCCCTCATAGCAGCCTCTCCCCTCAGCATGTGAATGGTTTGGGAATCGCTACGTGACCAATTCTAGCCAATGAGATGTGAAGGAGTGTCTTTTGATGAGCTTTGGGAAAAGATTTCCTCATTCTTAGGGAAGAAGCCCAGAAGCGGACAGTGCCTCATCTTCTGGGCATTGCTGTCTCTGCACTGACACCTAGAACTGCTGCGGTCTGACTCGGGAAGACCCTTACCCTGAAAAGAAAAGAGACAGGGATGGAAAGAACGCAGATTTGACCCTTTGAAGTTACAATTATGGAAGATAAGACACATCCTAATTGCTCAGAACAATTTGAGTTGGGAATTTTCTGTAACTTGCGACAAAAAGCGTCCTGACATCCAGCTGTCCATACTTGCTGGTCCAGACATCAGTGAATTCTGAACTACTGAAGTCACCAGAGTGAACGCTTCTGAGAAATCTCAGTTAATTCTGTGGTGCCAAGTGAGTTAGTAAAGGCATTCCTTTGACTTTCTCTGTCCTCGGAGCCCATGAAACGGTGCCAATGGACTGTGTATACCAGAACTCTCACGTTTCTCTTGGTTTCTTAAGTATCACGCTGTTTCTACACTTTCCCCCCAAAGTTAGATCTGCCTTCATGTCTCCCAGAGCCCAAAGACACAGACCCTGACCCCTTGCCTCTTCCCATACATTAGTTATTTCTAGAAATACATAATACATGTAGGACACCACCTTCTGCCAGACCCTGGACCAGGCAAGGGGGATACAGAAATGACAAGACATACATCCTGTTTGAATTTAAGAATCTTCTTGTATAACAGAGAAGGCAGCCAATTAAGAAAGGTGTTACAACAGTGTGGTGAGTGGTATGGTAGGGTTAATAGAGAGCCCCCTTAGGTGATCCACAGCAGAGACGCTAAGCTGGCCTAGGAATCAAAGAAGGCATGCAGTAAATAACTAGAACCATATATAGCACGTGTAACCCAATACAGCCCCCAGAGGAGCCTGCGCACCCTCCTTAACAAGTATGTTAACAAGTTGGTTAACAGCCCTTAAAGTCTGAGGACCCAGGCTACAGTCCCATCTTCTAGTTGTGTGAACACAGACAAGTCACTGAATCTCTCAAATCTGAAGTCTGACCCCAAGAACAAGTCAGGGCGCTTATTATATACTCTTGTATTACTCTACATTTTATCTTCATATGATTTTGCTCCTCTATAATCATGTATTACTATGTCCTCATTTTATTATTGTCTATCTCCACAAATACAATGTGAGCTCCATGAAGGGTAGGACTCTGTTTTTTTTCTGCCATGGTATCCACAATGGCTCAACAGGTGCCTGATACAAAGTACGTGTTCAAATGCATATAGTGGAGTGAATTAATTAATGAAGGAGAGAGACCTTTTCAACTAAGGAATATCCTTAAAGCCCCTGCTTGGAGAAGAGGGGGGAAAAAAGCCTGTCCAGTGAAGTACAACCCCCCCTACCTGTCCTCTCTATGGCTGACTTCTACTGCAACCTTCAGAGCACAACTGGACACCATCCTCAGGCCCCAAAGGTTAGGCAGAGATGTGGCCTTAGGCTCTGTCTGACTCTGAAGGCGTATGGCAACAAGATTGCAGTGGACATCTATCAACTCCCCAACCTTGTGCTGGGTTCTGCAGGGGTCAGGCATCTAGTCTGAATGGGGTGCTCTCTGTTGTGTCTCATAAGAAGAGTAAAGGTTTTGTTCTGTTTCCTGGACACTTCTTACACATAATCCAGACTCCAAATGAAGGAACTAGGTTCAGGCATCCTCCTAAGAGTCCTGCAAGGTTTGCTCTAGCTTAGGCTCTCACTCCCCACCCCTCCACCATGAGCTGCCTCTATAAAGGAAAGGAAAGAAAATGCATCTGTGTCTAGATAGTCTTCCATAAAATCAACAATTCAGCCTGCCAGTTACAGATAAGGGATACTTTCTTCAATCTAGGTGATCTTTCCATTTCAGATTTCTAAGGAGCTTGAAGAAAAGGTGTGCTTGTCAAGAGAATGGAAATAGATTGAGGACATGGAAGAAGTTGGACCAAAAGAATGGAGATCCTATTCTTTAGCTCTGTTTCTGCAAATGGGCTATTTATAGATCTGCTGATCTTTAGGACATGATCACCATAGACAAGACTCAGTGTAACCAGTATCATACTAACATGGAAACCCCAAGGAAGAGGGAGCTAATTATCACTGAGGAACAAGGACAGCTCAGAAAGTTTTCATAGCAAAGTGAAATACCGAGAATGGGCTTTAAAATGCATTTCAGTGAGAGAGCAAAGTGGACGCAGACAGACGGAAGGCACTGGAACTCAGATTCACCCAAAGTCAACTTCATGTGAAGCATGGAGTCAAGGTTAGTTTTGTTGGCCTGCTCCTATTGGCCACTCCCATCACTGATATGGAGAAATGTCATTGAGAGTCAGTGGGGTGGAAGGAAGCAGGATGATGATGGTAAAGGTAAGGAAGGCAGAGGCAGATTGTGGGAGGCTTTGGATGCCCTGCGCAAGAGACTGGATGCCATGTTGTAGGAATGGGGAGATAAGCCAGAGACTGACTCTGTGTCCTAGAGTGCCACCTTGATGGCAGCATGGACATTCAAGATGGTAGCTAAGTAGAGGCATTAGAAGATCACAATAATCAGGCAAGGGGAGCTCATTGGGGCATCACACATACTGAAATTAGAATCATACAGAGAAGATTAGTATGGTCCTTACACGAAGATGACATGAATATTCATGAAGGCTTCCATACTTTTAATGGGTATAGAGCTTCACTTAGCGAAACTGATAAATTCTGGAGATGGATGGTGATGATGGTTATACAACAATGTGAATGTACTTCATGCTGCCAAACCATGCACTTAAAAATGACTAAGCTGGTAAATTTTGTTATGTTTATTTTACTACAATAAAAAAAAAATTGTCAGGGCACCTGAGTGGCTCAGTTGGTTGGGCATCCAACTCTTGATTTTGGCTCAGGTCATGATCCCAGGGTCATGGGATTAAGCTCCCAAGTCGGGCTCTGCTCTGACTGTGCAGAACCTGCCTAGGATTCGCTCTTCTCCAGCCCCCTCTCTGTCCCTCTTCTTTGTGTGTTTGTTCAGTCTCTCTCTCTCAAATAAATGAACATTTTTTTAAATTGTCAAAGTACTAAAAAAAGAGGCTGTAAGGATCTGGATTGTTGCTGAGGAGCAGGAATGGAGAGGAAGGAACAAATCATGGAGCCCTTTTGGATGGAAAGTCCATAGAACTTGCTGATGAAAGGAATGAGAGGAGGAAGGAGACAAATATAATTCAGAGATTTCTCTGATGCATGACTGCTCTGCTCTCAGAAGTGGCCTTATTTGGGTAATAAAGGGACACCCTACCTATTAGGAGCTGTTTTGCACTTGCCTGGTTGGTCCTAAGTTGATTGGGTGGGGAAAACTTAGTCTTAAACCACTAACACATAAGACCTTCCTTAATTTTCCATTGTGTATATGGCAGGTGGTCAATGAAAATTTCAATTACTGATTGATTTAGCACTGAGGTTGCAATTATAATACATAATTAATGTTTCATGGTGGTTGTAACCTTTCCTTATATTTCATTTCCTGGTGAAAAAGTTTCCCTGCTGCAACAAATGTCCAACTTAGGGTAAAGAATAGACTCACAAGTAATTTTTTTCTCATTTCTTCTTTAAAGTAGACATACAAATTCCAGAAAATTCTCTGGACAGGTATATGAGAAGGAGTGAGGATGCTCCAAAAAGGTCCCAAGCTCACCTGGAGCATTCAGAGCAGTACAGTGAGAATAGGAAAAGCAATGAGGAGCAGGTTTTAACACAGTCATTAATTAAGTTATATTCTAAAGGTCATTAAAAACAATTAGTGCTTTGTCAGCTACCGCAGACCAGAGCTCTGACTTTGTTTTAACCAGTGATTCTCAAGAGGGAAATTTGTGCAATGCTGGGCACCTGGTTGGCTCAGCTGATTAAGCATCTGACTTTGGCTCAGACCATAATCTCATTATTTTTGGGTTCAAGCCCCACATTGGGCTCTGTGCTGACAACGCAGAGCCTGGAGCCTGCTTTGGATTCTGTGTCACCCTCTCTCTCTGCTCCTCCCCCACTCATGCTATGTCTCTCTCTCTCAAAAATAAACAAACATTTAAAAAAATATTAAGGAGCGCCTGGGTGGCTCAGTTGGTTAAGTGTTGGACTTTGGCCTAGGTTATGATCTCATTGTTCCCAAGTTCAAGCCCCGTGTTGGGCTCTGTGCTGACAGCCAGAGCCTGAAGCCTGTTTCAGATTCTGTGTCTCCCTCTCTCTCTGCCCCTCCCCCACTTGTACTCTGTCTCTCTCTCTCTCTCAAAGAGAAATAAACACTTAAAAATTTTTTTAATAAAATAAAATAAAAAAGCAATGCTTGTCCCAAAAATTTTAGTTGTTTCTTAATATATAGAAACAACAAATAGCTGATTAAAGAGGAGTATAAATTTTTATATTCATCAAAGGGGACAAAAGATACAAAATTTTCTGATGCTTTTGAGTCACCAAAGCTTTGCTTTCCTGTTAGGTATCGATTATATCCTGCTAAAGTAGATGTGATATTATGTGAAAAATGGAAAAGAAAGAGGGGAAAGAAAAATGGCATTTATCGATTAAGTCTCTGCTAATTTCCAAGCACTGTGCTTGGCATTTTCAATATTGTCACATTTGATCCTAAAAATCTCATAAGAAGTTTGCATTATTAACTGCATTTTACTGTCAGCAGAGTGCGTTAGTTGGTTGGGGCTGTGTAACAACAGACAGACAGACTAGGCAGCTTATAAAAAACTGAACATTACTTCTCACAGTGCCAGAGGCTGGAAGTCCAAGATCATGGTGCCAGCACTGTCAGATTTTGGTGACAACCCTCTTCCAGGTGGCAGATGTCTTGTTGTGTCCTCACATGGTAGAAGGGGCTAGGGAGCTCTGTGCGGTCTCTTTTATAAGACCACTAATCTCATCCATGAAGTTTCCACCCTCAGGACCTAATCACTTCCCAAAGGCTCTACCCCCTCATACTATTGCCTTGGTCGTAAAGATTTCAACATATAAATTTGGCGGTGGAGACGCATTCAGCCTATACTACTCAGTGTATCACTTATCTATTACTGGGTCACAAATTATCATGAACCTGGTGACTCAAAACAACATATATGTGTTATCTCCAGTGTCTATGGGTCAGGAGTCTGGACATGGCTTAACGGGGCACGCCGTCAAGGTGTCTTCCAGGGCTGGGATATCATCAGAGGCCCCACTGGGAAAGGATCTTCTTTCAAGCTCTCATGGATTCTTGGCAGAATTAATTTCCTGGAGGCATAGGACTCATGGCAGAAACAAAGAGAGACACTAGCAAGACAGGCACTACACTCGTATGCAATCACGGACATTTATCACCTTCGGCCCAATGCACGGATTAGAAGTCACAGTTCTCACCGCACTCAAGGGGAGGGGATCTCACAAAGGCATGAATACCAGAGACAAGAATCATGGGGCCACATTAAAGAGTGTCTAAGGTCAGGGGTGCCTGGGTGGCTCAGTTAGTTGAATGTCTGACCTCGGCTCAGGTCATCATCTCACGGTTTGTTGGGTTCGAGCCCCGCTTAGGGCTCTGTGCTGACAGCTCAGAGCCTGGAGCCTGCTTCAGATTCTGTGCCTCCCTCTCTCTCTGCCCCCCCACCCCCCCGCCAACACTCTGTTTCTCTGTTTCTCAAAAATGAGTATTAAAAAAAATTGAAAACAAAGAGTGTCTAAGGTCAAGGTCAAACAACCAGCACATAGTAAAGCTGGTTACAAATATAAATCTTTCTGACTCCAAACCAGTGTTTGGATTCTAATCTCAGCTCTACTTCAGCTCTACCTCTGGCCTCCTGAGTTATCTTGAGAAACCATTTCCCTTCACCAAGTCCTAACCTCCTCAGTTAAAAAAGAGGTACCTGTCATCTGCTGGGAGCACCATCAGCAAGGATAGGGACCAGGCCTGGTGTAGAGACCCTTCCCCTCACACCTCACACTCTGGCCACTGGGAGTGCTCCTCTATCTGTGTCCTCACTGTAGGAGCCCACCAGCCGTGTTAATGTTACGTCTGGTCCTTTCCACAGTGTCATCTATGCCATTGTGATCCGAACCATTTGGATTAAGAGCAAAGCCCATGAGACAGTGATCTCCAACTGCTCGGGTAAGTCTCTAATCAGAATGACCCAACTCTTCGGTAATTTTGCTTCTGTAGTTTTTTTTTTCTTTCCTAGCAAATATGAGCTTGGGCTTTGCCTGAATACAAGTGTGCATTATTCTCTCAGGACTCAGCCGGCAGAGCTGACCCACCAAAGGCTCTCCCCGCAGGTACTGTCTCTTCCCTGTGGCCTCCCTGAAAACTCAAAGAAGGAAGGAGGGACTTTGGGTGACAGGATCCAAAGGTCCCCCTAGTGTCTTAGACCTGACAAAGAGCCACCTCCTGAAGGACAGTGGGGTGAAAAGACAGCTGTCCAAGGAGCACACATTCAGTGAAACACGAGCATAGACATTTCTATCTGGCTTGAATTCACAGATGGAGAAAACTGCCGTCTATCCACAGAACACTCCTGGACCCTAAGCCAGGCAAAGAATGGTCAGTTTCTCCCCAGAATGAGCCTGAGACCACCCGCTACAGCCCTTCCCCGGATCCTGCTGCAGGCAACCTTAATGCAGAGCCCCTCCCCCATGGCAGGCACTGGGAGCTGAAGGCAAATATTACTGGACCTGATGGAGACCAACCCAGAGAGGACTCAGTGAACCACGTGCCAGAAAGAGAGGGCCAAGGGCTCCTGGTTTTCCATTTAATATAATGCAACTAGCTCTCTCCTCAGGCTCCCCACCTCTCCCCGTTCCTTGTACACACACACACATATGCACCCGTTCACACACCCACCCAATCTGTCACACGCACACTTATACGCTCATACACGCCCACATCTACATACTCACCCGCACGCACTCACACAAGAACAGCAAGCCAGAATGCAGATACCTGGGCTGTGAAGAGCTGGTTTTCTGTTCCAGATGTGCCACTAAGAGCTGTGCCACCGTGCGCTAACCTCTCTGGCCTTCAAGAGGTTAAAATAAAGGGACAGACTAAACGGTCTCTAAGTCTACCTCTTTTCAGACCTTGGGACAGTACCTCTACTGGGCAGAGACCACACTCCTCTTCCTCCCTCTTGAAGCTACTTCCTGCAGTGAGAAAGTCACATGGATCCCCAAGTGACAACTGATAATCTGTGTCCCTCTCTCTAGAAGAATTGGTAGAGACGCGGAAGCTTTAGTGTCTTCATCTGAATTCAGTTCATTTCTGCTGTGTTCACCACGTGTCAGCAGCGCTACAAAGGACTGGGAATGCCAGATGAATAAGTGGCATGGTTCCGCACTAGGGGAAGCCTGTTCTCATGCACTGGGCTTCAGCTCTGGCTGCACAATGGGGCTGCCTGGGGAGCTGTTCAAATGCACTGATACCCAGACACCACTGCCTGAGAGATTCCGATGCACCTGTTTGGGATGAGGTCTGGCATCATTACTTTGCAAAAGCTCTTCGGATGATTGTAATGTGCATCCAGGTTTAACAGCCTCTTATCCGGTGGGAGACACAGCTATAGGCAGCTGACACCCACAGTGATTGACGATAGTAACCCAGAGGTGTGTGCAGGCTGCTTGGAAATTTTCTGTCCATGAAATACGTATCATTCAGCTTGTGGCTCATTC